TGGAGGCAGCGGTCGTGGTGGTTGTGAGGCGGAAACGGGTTGGATACGTCATTCGACAGATCGTCATCGTCATTGGTGGAAAGACGTCGAGGGGTTGTCCAACGACCATTGACGATGCTTTTTTCTTGGTTTTGTGTTCAACTCGTCTCCACCTCTCAGCCACCGCGACCGCTGCCTTTAAGTCACTATGAAGAATTAGGGAGGGACGCCTTCATTGGGTCCCCATTGCTCCCGAGCACTTTTGTCCAAGACTGGGTAACCACGTAGTCTCGCTTGTCGCTTTACCACTTATCACTAATCACCAACTTTCCGCAGTACATCGGTGAAAAGGCTGTTTTTTTTTTATCGGAAGGAGTGATATTGGTCAATATCAACGACTATAAAAGTGCCTATAGCTAGTGATTTCATTTCACTCCGAACTACTCAAACTTCACGGATGGAGTTCTGTTTAGAGGAGAATCACTGTGAGTGCTTCTACCAGACCAGCTCCAGGACCCACAGCGACACTCTCGTATCTCGCCTCTGCTTTTCAGTTAGCGATGAGATGTCAGCCGCATCGGCGTCAGCATATTCATGGTCTGAAAGCGAAGAGTTGATCACAGTTGGAAACGCTGACGATATCTGTGAGCACCTTTCAGTAAATTCTCCCGAACACCACAGTTGTGCTCGGAAACCAATACCTAAAAGTTCGTATTTGGGCGAAGAAACTTTGGTCCCCGTAAGAAAACAGTTGCTTCACAACGCTCGACCCGCTTACCGCAACCCGGACACGGTAGTGGAATGGTCTAGTTCATGGTCTGAAGAACAAGGTTATTATGAGACCTCAGAGGAATATTTCCAGCAAATCTTGAGTCATTCACATGGAGGCACTCATGCCCTCGGGGAGGACATCAAAAAAGGGGCATTCGAAAAGCGCTGTAGGTGACACTAACACCCAGCCGAAGAGAGGGAGAAACGCAGGGAGAACAAAGGATGCAAGCTTCCCCCGCTTCCCCCGGAACAGCTTCTTTCCCCAAGGCTTAGTCCGCCCCCCCCCCCCCGAAAAAAACAATGCAACGGCCACATCATTTTGATGAACATTGGATCGCTAGCCTGCATGGGAGCTGTTTGTTTCCACTGATCAGAAGTAGCCACGGTGTGCCACCGCTAGCCACCCTGGACTGAACAAATAGAATAGGATTTCAATGCTCATCATGATAAGAACGATATCAGAACATTCCCTTATCATGCAAGCTCATTCTATTATTTCCAACACACATACCGGCAATCCCAGCTTGTTGGCATGATGGCGGCTATCGGGGTTAACACGTCCGAACAACGTCGTTCTTTACCGTCGCTCATCCATGGTCGAAAATGAAAGGGCAATCAAAGGGGTACTATTTTGCTTATTTTTGACGGATTTCTTTGCTTTTTTCGCCATTGGCGTACTATTGAGACCCCCACGTCCCCTCCAAACCCCTCCGAGATCTATCGTAATCGCTGCTTTAAGTTTCGAAGTGAAATTGGAGCGGCGCTCATGCCCTGCGGAGAGGGGGAGAACATTCAAAATGGCATCTGAAAACTGCTGGTAGGTGACATTAGGGCTAAGCTCAGGAGAGGTCAGAAACGCCAGAGAGGACAAGAATTGCTCTCATCCTCTCCAGAATATGTTCCCATCCTTACGGCTAAATCCTCTCTAGAATATATTCCCCTCTCCGAGGCTCACTTCCAAGTACTGTAAGTGGCTCACTCACTTGAATGTCCTCCTTCCCCCCCCCCCCCCGCGCGTCAGCTGGAACTGTGCCACGTAGAATCAAGTTCTGTGGCATATTGGCACCACTATGACCCTTGGAAAGTGGGAAAATGGCATAGAGGGACACAGGGGACTGGAGTGATAATAAGAGGTATCGTTACAGGCAGAGGATTGACTCGCAACCACTGAGCTTCAAAGACGACGAGCAAGCCCTGTGCTTCGCCTCTTCTGAGTCTGTAACTGGTTCATTAAGTCGGAAAAGGCAAGGCAAGCTCGTTGCGCCTAACTCCAAGCGCATTAAATCAAAGTCCGAGAATGTAGAGGGAAATTCTCTCGTTATTGGAATAGCCTGTGGAACTCCTTTCTTCACTCCAACGCTGATTATTCCTAACCCTTTCGCGATACATGCGCACCCAAGTATTTTCCCTCTCCCTTTCACTTCCTCATTTTGTGAAAAAGCTGACGCATTTTCAGATAATGAAATGGTAGACACGAGAACGGCAATTCTTGACGAGTCCGAGGACGAAAGATTCGACGAAAGTGACTTGTCAACAGCCAGTAAGTACAAAAACGACGACAACGGCGCAAATGCTATCATAAAAGTTTTTTTCCAGTACTGGACGATGATGAAGACCTCATAACGGCGGTCTCGCATGATTACTCTGCATACTCGTTGCCGGCCAGTGAAACATTTGTCGATATGGACGGTATGTCAACGGAGTCTGAGTTAGACTTGTAGTGGGCCAACTAGAGTGATTTTGTAAGAAAAAGTGAATTCTCACTTGTGCTTGAGTGATAAGCCCTGATAAACTTCATACACGTTAGACAGCGTTCATAGTCCGCGACAGCATATGCGATCAGGCGATTGGGCGAGACTTAACAAGAAAGCGTACATATCGATTAGGCGATTAGGCGAGTAGGCAAGTAAGCGGAAAGAAACGATATCTATCAATTCGATTGCTCCGCCCACGATCGCCTAATCGTTCTATTCCCCTAATTGTACTCGCCTAGTCGCCTGATCGATACGTATCCTTTTCCTTTCCTTATAATACATAGCTGCGCTGCGGCTAATCGGCATGCAAATAATGACAGCTTGCTTTAGATTATTAGACACGGGCGTTTTACAGGAGACTCACATTTTTTGGGATCTCTCTTGTCTCGAACTGTGAAAACGTCCAATTGAAATATGACTATTTAGAAAGTACTACCCATTCTTGCACTACTCCTTCTCATGAAGGGGGGGGGGTCACAAAAAAACGAGGTTAAGCGCTCATGTCGTTTGGGGGAGGGGAGTTGAGACACTCAAGTGATTGAACCATTTATAGAGCTTGGGACAGCCTTAGGGAGGAGAAGGAACTCCGGGGGAAAATGTGAGCATATTGCGTTCTATCTAGCGTTTCTTCCCTCTCCTGGCCTTAGTCTTCGTGTCACCCTCACTACCTCGACCCTATTTAAATTATCTATTAAATTTATTTACGTCATTTTTTCGATTATTTTTTAACCTCTCCTCCTCACAAGGATATAGCGGGTGAGGGTATTTGGGTTCAATAGTGGTCAGTAGGACTATACTTCATATGGCGTCAAAGTCAACTCGATCTGTTCAGATATTGAGCAACAGCGTTAAAAACGCAAGAAAATGGAAGTTAGCTACACCACCGCCCAGTGAGACAGACGTCGATATGGAACGTGGGTGATAGCCAGTATAAGATGTTGTTGAGGCTTCAGGGTAGCTAACTCGGAGTGTAGAGCATTATTTCCTAAACTGCAGTATAGCTGCAAGCATACCACCGCCCCAGAAACTGAACCATTGAAATTCTCGCGCTTGAAGATGAAGTCAGAGATAGAAAGTGGTATAATGGAAACTCGAACTAAGAAGACGGTTTCGTATAATTCGCGAAAGAACCCATTTTGCTAGGTTATTTTCGCGCTGGACGAGATTCCACGATGGGTGCCGTCACTAGCGCGCGAACACTTACCGCATTAGGCAATGGCTCACTGTTAGGTAACCACAGGCGTTGTTGTTGATTTTCGCTGCTGAAACTTGCTAAGTATTCTCTTACAACCTTCCGAACAACAGCTAAAATAATCTTCCATCATGTATTGTTTGGTACGATCAGATGGACGTACGTAGGTGCAGTTGTGTTGGGCCAATGCTGCTCCTTGTGCCTTAGCTTCTCGAGCTTGCCAAATCATCCTTGGAGTTGTCTTCATATTCCCCGCTTGCATAACTCGGCATTTTCCCGGAGAAGGGCTCAATTTCGACCTAAAATCCCGGACCTTGTCCTTTAAACTATGTAGTTTGCTAATCGAAATTGTTCTCGACCACAGACTTCACTTAACCCTTATTTTACTTAATTTTTAGCACGATATACCCTTGCAAAATACTATTCAGTAAGACTTGTTGGATGGAAGCGTACCAATGAGCACTGCAGTCACTGGAAGTATCTCGTGGTACAGTATGCCACCGTCAGAGACAAATGTCGAATGTTTGTTTTTCTGCGCTGGCCTATGAAAATGAGGGCTTTTGTAAAATATTGCATCAATATAGTATCATTTCAGTGCCAACAAGCATGGGCGGGGATCGCAGTAAATTTGTCGAGGCTGTTGGAAGATTTGAAGGTGACGCGATGACGAAGGTTACTCCAGATGTCAACGGTGAGTTTGGGGGAACTTATAACGAGCTACTGTACCAAATAGGGCGTAAAAGCTTTGTTTATAATGGGTAAAGGGGAAGAAATAAACGGAAACCAGAACGTATACATCCACAAATGATGATAGTTGAAGACATACTTTATCTAGGCTGCCTTAGTCCGGTGTCAGACTTTGCGAATCCGGCAATTCGCTAGTAGCTGCTTCGCGGCCTCGCTACTAGCTAATCGATGGTTTCTCCGAGTCTGAAATCAGCCTTATGTAGAGCTATGAAATGAATTAGTATGGAAGTGCAATTTGCAGAGAATGTCCGCTTGAGAGCAGAATTCTGCTGGTTTCTAATTCTCTGATGGCTTTTATTGCGTTACTGTATCCCTCTGAGAAGCACTAGACTGGACATAAAAATCCAGCCACTATTTAGCAGGCTAGAGTCTCGCTCGTTATCGGAATAAACCAGACAAATCGCTCCACCAACTAAGAACGGCCATGCACCACCAACCACCAAATCGAGAAAGAGCTTTCAATCTGTCAATCCTTACGGTGTCCGGGCCGGGTGAAGTTTTTCTTTGTAGGGCGAATTAAGGCGCAGGCCCCATGTGGTAACTTTAAGGCCTGACACTGCAGATGATATACGGTAAAATGCCCTAACTTGCAGTAACCGCAATTGCATTTTGATTGAGGATAAGTGCGGGAGAACAATGTAGACCACATCACCTTTGTCAATTTTGCCATCGATTGACATTTTACAAATCAACTGCTTGTTATCGAGTATGTCATTAGGTATAAAGAGATGGAACAAAAGGCTATAAAACCTTATGTATGAGCTTGTTTTGAATTTTCGACAGATTGCACTACAACGATGTTAGGCTGTTAGGCATAGTTCACCATATATGTAGACTCTACATTTATATATAGCTGGAAATATTTTTTCAGATTACCTAGAGGGCCTTGCGCTCAACGAATCGGCCGTAGGCTCAGAACTGAACAAGGCGTTTCTGGAGGCGGAGGAAACAGATAAAGAAAGGACAGGTAACATGTAGATCATTGAAAAACAAAACAGTTCATACCTCATAGAGTCCAACCTCTCTTGCTAAATGCGCCACGCACCCATCTTCCATCCAAACAAGTCGATGTGCTGGAATGGGTAACTGATCAGGATATGTCTGAGTGGACCAGTTTACGCTTCACCCGATACTTTTGGTCACCTGTTTGTTCCCTGCAGCCACCGGGATACCTTTTCTAGCGTATGCTATACGCCTTGCATTGTGTGCAACTGTCCATTTATGTAGGTCCACATCATGAAGGGAGGTTTTCACAAAACCACAGAGTGTTTTGTTTATAAGTATGAGGATTTCAATCGAATGCGGTTTTACAGCTCACCTTTTAGAATGAAACCTCACAACACTGATTCAGAGCTGGGTTCTCTGGCGGTTGGTTTCCTCTCCTTCCCTCTACTCCTTCCCTGGCTTTCAACTGCCCCTGCAGCACCACATGGAATGGCTGTATACAGAGTGGAGTGTCGGCTGCATTTGGACCGCGTTCGGTAGCGATGAGCGCACTCTAAACTTTTGCTGTACTGTCTTATTTTCAAAGCGTAGGCCGAAGTTCAAAGGATTTCAAACGAGAAGCTTCAGATTTTCAGATGGAGACAAGGATCCCTATGACTTCGACACAGCCATAGAAGCATAAGGTACGAAAATTTTCTAGACGTACCAAGTTGTGATTACTACGGTAGCTCGTTTTCAGGGAGATCACAAAAATGTGCAAGTTATATACACGAAATTTCAGCCAAACGTTAGCTAGTTTCGTTGTATTTCTAGTTGAGTTGTGAACGACGTAATCTTCCTCAGCTATTTTTCAGAATAAAAAATTTGGTAATGGTGTTAGTTCGCTCGGTAGAAGCAGCACGCTTTAGCAGTAGGTAGGAACAGTATAATCGGTGACGTGCAGAAACGTCCTGCCCTGCACCTCTAAAGGAATCCCCATGGGCTAGGACGCGCGGCAGGTTTCTACGTGACGGCCTTGATAAGCTCAACGTTATTGGTGTAGTGTATAACTTGGAATAGTGGCGGCCAGTCGTCTATGTAAAGCATGTACATTGATTGCCATCAAACGCGCAACCGCGCAATACATGACATGATACAACTCTTGATGCTTACTGTGGAAAAATCGATTTTAACTGGACTGAAATTTGGCGTCAAGATCCTATACTGTCAGAAGATCTACATGGGACTACCCATATGCTAGCTGAGTAAGACGAGGAGGGGGTCGTATAAGCAATCCGGGAGGGAGACGTATTGGTTGACGATCATTGAACTAACCACAGTACGATGGAAAAGCCTACTTGGGTGTGGTGGGGGGTCATTTTTTGACATTTTTTGACGACTTCAGAGAAAACTTAAAAGAAAGAGTCGAAAAAATAGACAAAGCGAAAGCATCCGCCGTTTCTTTATAGTTACCCCCTCCAAACGGCAAACGGTTTCGCGGCAGAAAAAATGGGTGGAGCTGAAGAGTATATCGACAGGTATCGAATCTGGAGCTGGTGTTGGATGGTCGTATCAGGATGTTCATCAGAGGAGAGGGTTTGAAAACGTGAATCGGCCTGACGCCAGAGGTAACCCTGGGTCTACATCGATTGATGACGGAACCTGAATTTTACAGAGCTCTGTAAATAAATTCTCAGATTGGATATTGTCCCAAGATATTTATCAAGCGTCCTCCCAGCCAGTGCTGATTTCTCACCCGTTTTGCACCTAACTTGATCCCCTCTTCCCGAAGAAACACGCGCGAGCACCCAGCCTTTGGCCAGCCCGTCCTCGGCGCATTTCATTGTCTGTCTACGGCTAGAGGTTCATGCTTCTTCCCCGATAAAAATGAATAAAAATGATTTTTTGGCGGCTCACTACGAAATGATCGAGACTGAGGAAATCCCCTAGAAAAGCACACTGAAGAAAGGAACGCTATCCAGAGATTGCTCACCGTATCCGAAGATCGTTATTCCCTCCCCTCCCGCCGAATAATTTGGCACCAGGGTTTTTTTTTCTGTTCGTTCAAAAAGATCAGTTCCACCTTCCTGGCTTCAAAGTTGGCTTTGCCATAAATCGCTCTTACTACTGAACCCTACCCCAGGGGTTCGGGTTCGTTCATACTCTGCGATTACAGAAAATGGGCGAGTCTGCGAAAGGAATCAATTATTGTACGCGAGGATAGGTGCATGCCAGGACGCCTGAGCATCGCTAGAGCATCAGTAAAACGAGTAATGTAACAATCAGTGGACTCCACCACATCGGAATTCGTGGAGACGCGCCACTCTTCTTTTCTCTTGATCTGTTCGCACGTAACTCTTCTAGTCTCTTCACCCATTTTCGATTAGCTGGGTCGCAGACTGTGAACAATACCCGGGGGGGGTG